GTCAAATGGAAATCCTTGTGCCAACATTCACTTCTGCGTCATCGTTGTATTTAGGGGATACCTTTTAAAAAACTTAATTCTGTGGGTGAAGAACTGGTGCAGTGAGTCAGTGTGGTGTCTCATGTTGTGATGTTCTCAGTCACCACAAATGAAACATCCTATGCCACCTGACAGCAGCAGAGTAATATGGTTTTGTGATTCATTTGGCTCACATAGTAGAAAATCGGACTTCAAATCAGACTAGAAATAGTGTTTAATATTGAAAGGGAATTTTTTCTACTCATGGACAAAGACCAAAAAAAAAAAAAAACAGAAAGCAGTCTGTTGCTAAAAATAGTCCCAGATGCTCTGTAAAGCACATACAGCGCTGTGTGTAGTAGTGAGACGCCCGTTCGTGTGTTACTAGGGAGAACAGTGAGAATTTCTGCTGGAAGACTATTGTCTTAAAGATACCAAGTGTTGTTGCTAAGCAACTCGGCGACCGGGTCAATAATACAGTGGATGGTCGTATTCGCCGGGGCTTTGGAAGTGATTTTCCGTTTCATCTGTTTAAAATGTAATATAGTCAGAGCCGCGGGAACACTTTGTCACCCGGCTCATTTATCCAAGAGTCGTGAAGCAAAGAAATCGTAGTGCTGGGCTTTTTTCCCACCTGATCAGATTTTAAGATAGCAGCATAAAACACGCCTGATACGATCAGGAAGAGCTTTGATCAAAAGAGTGAATTTCACACAGGAGTTAAAAGACAACAATGAAACTGATTTGTTTTTTTCATCGGTGGCCGTATAAAAATGCAAATAAGAAAGTGATTTAATTGTTAGATAATGTTTTTTTTTCTTCTTCTAAATACTTAAATTCTTGGTTGTTTGTGCTCCATTTCTAATTGTACTTCTCAGAAGGGAACTCACTGGGGGGGAGTCAGCCTACTGAATTATTCCTCATGCTATTCCTGGATGTCTGGTCACACGCTACAAGTTAATTAACAAAGACTTGGCTGGACTCATTATTTCATACAGTATTGAGCTGAAACTCAGTATTCAGAACAGAGTGTGAATAATACACTAGATTTTTCTGGCTACACTCTTCTCTGCCTGTCGCTAAATGACAAGATGTGTACAGAAAACAAACCAAGGACAAACACTAATTATCCATATGCAGGACTTTTGGGGTCTTTTGGATCCCAGGCCATTATCAGAAAATGTATTTAACATAGTATAAAAGTGAAATACTTGAGCTTAGTGGAATCTGTGGTTACAGTTATTTCAGCTTAAATTGTGGACACAGATTTGTTGAAGAATAATTGAAGTGCCCATCTTCCCTGTGGTAAACACACTCACATACACCTGCTTTGTGTGTGTGTGTGTGTGTCCTGGTCTCAGTTCATGTGACCTAACTTTGATCTTTTCCAGGACAGAACTATAAAGTGTCCGGCGTTAGCTCGGGTAAAGGGGATAAAGAGAGTCTTGCTGTGTGGCGGCATTCTGCCCTCTCTGTCCTTTCCACCTCTGGAGCTCCACTTTGGTGTGTGCCACATGCTGTCTGAAGTCGAGCCCTTTGTGCACTTCACATTTATTATTCATACAAAGCACACACACGCACGGGGATTCTGGTTTAAGTTTGAGACCTTTTGGATGCTTTGATGGTGGGGGGGAACAGCAAGTGATGGCTTAATATAACAGAAAGCATAAGAAGCTTTATATTACCCAATGGGATTACAATTGTAGTGAGATAAGTTACAGCATTTTGAATGGAAGGACTAATTATTTTCCTTCCTTTGACAAAAAACGTGGCTAAATAGTGGATTGATGCACCAAAGTGGGTGAAGTGAGTGTGCCAGTAGTCCAGTGTGGCTCAGGAGCAGGCTGGGGATGCCGTGAGTGGGAGCAGCTAAGCCACGCCCCCTGCTCATTATGCATGCAGTAACCAGGGAGACTGGGGGAGTCGCGCGCCAGCAGCCCATCACGACCCACTTCAAAAGCGCCCGTGGCGAATAGTAGAGAGGAGAGCCTGCGCTGCCGCGGCGCTGTGTGGAGTAAACGCGACACGGCTGCACCTGAGATGCAGCAAACTGAAACCGAGAAATAAAGAACAAAATCCTCAAAACGGGAGAATTTCTTTTGCGCTCCTTCGGACTGTTCCAGATGTGGGGAGCGCCTCTGCCGAAGCACCACAGCCGCGGTTTGGATGCGAGATGGAAACATAGGGGATTCCTCTCGAGGACGCGCACAGTGAAGAAACTACAGCCGGTTTAACGGGAGGCGCACGGTTGAAGTGAAAAAATGGTTCAAAACGTGGTTCTGGTGTTTCTTCGCAGGAGGCTGAGCCAGAGACCGAATGTGGAGGAGCTGGAGAGTCGGAACATCTTGAAACGTAAGTTCTAGCAGTCCAATGTCGGTTTACAAACTACTGCTTTGTGTCACAAATATTAAAAATGACATGTAAATGCCAGATTTAAAACACACAAAAAAATTAAAATAAATGAACCTAAAAAAAAAAAAAAGAGAGAAAACAGGGATGCTGCAATTACAATAGAACAGAATGGAGAGGATGGAGTACATTATTCAGGAGCACGAGAGCGCATGAGTGCACACCACACGACCTCTTATATATAATGTGTGTGTGTGTGTGTGTGTGTGTGTGTGTGTGTATGCATATATATAAATGAGAATACAACAGGATGATGCACAGACAGCAAACAGTAAAATCATCCATAGAAAACCCTGTGCTGCTAAAATATTCCTCTTCAATTTACACACACACACATATATACATACACAGTCCTGAGTCTACAGTCATACAGATGTATTTCTAATTTGACTGTTTCTAATTTTCCATTTGTATCTTTTTTTTCCCCCAGAGAGAAACGACCAGACAGAGCAGGAGGAGAGAAGGGAGATCAAACAGCGACTAAACAGAAAGGTACAACCTCCATATATTTACCACCACAACAACATCAAGCAAATGAACTTTGTCGAATTCAAACTCAACAGCGCACAACCGCTTTCTTTCCAGCTCAACCAGCGGCCGACAGTAGACGAACTACGAGACAGAAAGATTCTGATCCGCTTCAGTGACTATGTGGAGGTGGCCAAAGCTCAGGACTACGACCGGAGAGCAGACAAGCCCTGGACTCGTCTCTCAGCGGCGGACAAGGTGTGTATTTGTGTTTTCACATAACAACGTCACATGCTGACCTCTGAACTGCCAATAATCGCTCGGGACTTGTCACAAAAACAAGTTCGCTATTTAGGTCAGTCTGATTACAAAAAAAATCCCCAAATTCTATGTTCCTACTGCTCAAGACGGTCAGCATCACATGTTGCTGTTATCAGCTTATCTCGCAAAATCCCCTCTCCTCTTTAACATTTTTTTTTTTAGCCTGATTATATCTTTCTTCCTGCTGCCGCCACTTTGCTGTTCAAAGGTTGCGGCACCCCCAATGGCTCAGGATGCACTTAGGGATGGTACTGATGCTGTTTGTCCTCCTCTTCCCCTACAGGCTGCCATCCGAAAAGAGCTGAACGAGTTCAAAAGCACCGAGATGGAAGTGCACGCCTCGAGCAAACACCTAACGAGGTCAGTATTCTGGAGTGTATGTCACTGTGTTCGGAAATGCAAGCGTGCTCTATTCTGGGCGGCATCGGTCTAAATATAGCTCTCCTTGCTCACTCGGAGAGCACCGAGGAGCTAAAGATAGATGGGAGTGCTTCTAAAGTGGGGAGGGGGGGAGGTTGTCCTCTGAAGAGCTTGCACGAGCAGGCAGAGAGAAATTATGAAATGCCACCGTGTCCTTGGCTTAGCTTGTTTGGAAAGCAAAGGGTCCTTGTGGGCTGTAACAGTGACCCAGAGGGAGGACAGGAGGAGAGAACGTGTCCGGCCCCTCAGCGCATTTAATGACGGCGCTAAAAATAGCTCCCCAGAACTGATTAATGGCCGTAATAATAGCCGGGTATGATGACAAAGGCACCCTCTGCCCTCACCATGTGTACTTCTCCCCTTTACACAGTTTCTCCGTATGTCTCTTTCTCTGCAGGTTCCACCGGCCATGAACGTGGGGAGTTTCTTCTGTGAAGAAATGCTGAGCTTAGAAATTTTCCTGAAGCTGCTAGGAGCTTCTCAGCGGCGGCGGTTCAAAGAGCCTGGAGCGTTTTTCGTCTCCAGCGTGTCTTTAACATTCTTCCAGCACCCTTGACTGTCATGTTATCAGTACGAAGGCACGGGTGTGGGAGAGAAGATGATGGTAAAGTTTGCGGCAGCGTGTCCTGGAGACCACTGGATGCCACGTGGGAGCCGGCTGGTGGAAGAGACTTTGGTGGAGCCTCTGACTCTCAGGACAAGAGCAGAGGGAGGGGAGGGGGAAAAAACAATCTCGTCATTCAGTCATTGTTGTTTTTTTTGTACTAATTCATGGACTCTTTTGACAAGGCGGTGTGAATCCGTGTAGTGGGAAGAAGTTGTGCATGTGACCATCTTCACCTTTTCTTAACTGATGAATTATGTGTCACTTGGACTGTGTAAAGACTGTGCAGTCTGGGGGAGGTAGTACCGGGGATGAATTTGATATTAACTGTACATACAGTATGTCAATCGGAATGGGACCGTCAATGTCTTCACTGAAAAGAGAAATACCTTTGTAAGCACTACTTGTCTTCAAAATACAAGGTCTTTTTTAAGAATGGCTTTTCTCATTTCTGAAACAATTTTATTTGAAATTAAGAATAAGGTTGAAGCAGCTGACACATTAAAAATCTTGAATGCTTAGCTGGCCATTTTCAGTACTTAACTACGTAACTTAACTAATCGACATGAATTAATCAGGAATTTGCATTCAAACTATTACAGAGCCAAAGCCAATCAATACACTAAAACACTTTTTTTTTAACCTTACTAACACTTGTACTAAAGCTGAATTCATAACTTTTCTCAAATCATAAACGTCAGAATAACATTTTCAACATATAGTAAGTAAATGGAACACATCTACAAAAAGATAAAAGCAGAACATGGAAAAAATAAACACTTTCCCTTGAAATCAGTGCAGCTGAACTACGGGAAAAACAAAGCATGCAGTCCTCTCTTCACACTCTGGAGCTCCCCCTCCAGCTACAAACGGTACACAAGCACAAAGAAACAGTCAGGGGAGACACTAAATTTAAAATCTTACACAACATCATCCGAGTCCTAAATTCTGTCAGTACTGGATGCTATGTACAGGCTGTGAAAGGAGCATTGTTCTGCTGTCAGAGTGAAGGAAGCAACATGAAAGGCAAACAGAAAGCCGGTCCAATTGTATCTGGTCTGTTTGACGCTGAAGAGTCACCTGTGTTTGCGTCTACTCACCATCTCACTGAGGAGTCTGTCCTGAACTGACTTCATGTCTTTTCTCATCAGGCACATCTGTAAACAACAGGCAGAGCAGCAGGGTTTTAGAGGAGGTAACAGAATACAACACAATCAGGGCATGCAAGCAATAAAGAGGCAAAGATAAGCAAAATGTAAAGGTCACTGAGCAGAAAATGATTAGGCACAGAGGCAGAGGTGACACGGTCTATTTATATAAAAAAAGATGAACTGTGAATAAATATGCCTATGTACAGCCGAATGCTGGATTTACACAGCTAATTAGTCTAACACATGAGTGAATATGAAGCACGTTGTTAGATGTGAGCTGTGAAGTTTAAGTCTGAGCGTCAGACCTGGGATGTGAATATTCTCTCCTCATACTCCAAGCTGTGACACGTGTTGCTCTGGAGGGCTCTCTTCAGGCCCTCGTTTCTGCAGGGACGAGGACAGACAGTCACGAAGAGACAAGGATGATCGGGGGGAACACACAAGATAACGGTAAAGCAGGAACACGAGCATTATGTGGGTTGAAGAGGAACACAGGAAACAATAATAAAAGCACTTAGTGTGGGAAATGATCTCTGGTTTACATGACAAAATGACAGTATTTAATGAATCAAAATGGCTTACGTAAGTGGCTTAATTTGAAGCTGGATTTTATACTTTATGCCTCTTTTTCCTGATATGTAAACACTTTATAAGTTACCACTGACCTCCATCACTAGATGTCAGTGATTCAGAATCAAATCTACAATAATGTCTGAAATTTGGGAAAGCAAAGGTTTAAGCATTTACCGACAATGATTAGCCACAACATTAAAACCAGTGTCAGATGAAGCCCTCTGAGGTGACCTGTCTGATTCAGAGCTGTTTAATGTTGTCCTGATGAGTCTATGTGACCATCGGTCCCTCAAAGTGACACCACCTGCTAATATGTCTGTGTAGATTCTCAGTCATCTAGGAGCTTCAGGAAAAAGTAACCGGACTTTTCTTTTAATGTTTTTTAATGAAGCCTCTTGGGTTACCAGGTAATGACAAAGTAAAAGATCCTGCCAGAAAGACGTGCGCTTTATGTCAGCCTGGCTAAAAACAGCTACCCATTTTAACATCATCACTTCTAGGAATCATGGCAGCAGGAGGTAGAAATAGATTGTAAGTGACGCTGTGCAGCTGAGGGAACTGAGTCCACGAGTTAGTCATAATACCGAAACTGATGTAGGGTACGCTTGAGCGTATCAACTGAAGGAATAATGCTAAAATGCTAATTTTATGACCAGCCACTTCTGGGACCGTATGTGCTAATAAAAGCATCGAGGGTGAGGCTTGCTTACAAAATACCAGGAAGCCCAGCTTAGTTATACAAAGAAGCACTGTCTACGCCTCTTCAGAAAACAGCTTGTGCTTTAGGGTGCATGTTTAGTTTATGATGATAAGCCTGAGGAAAAATGTATTTCCTGTCAAACTTTTTAATCCTGCTTTAATGTTTTACAGAGCATTTGGGTTTAAGCCTGTGGGACTACATTAGTCAGCGCTCGCACAAGCACACACAAGCCTAAATTTCACCTCCTGGTTTCCTGCTCCTGGTAAGAATGAAAAGCCACAATCTGCTTTTTCCAGTACACCTGTAATAGAACAGAGAAGACAATGCTCAGACACCGGTCAAATCAACGCGTCCGGCACTCAGACAGAATAATGCACGGTGAGGTATTTCGTGTTACATAATACTGCTTTCCACATTTTCCCCCCTAAAATGTTATACAGGGTGTGTGTGTTTGTGTGAGAGAGAAAGAGCTGAGAGAGTGAAAAACCTACAGCCAGATCTTTCTCCATGCTTTTTAGCACTGTGTCCTCCTGCTCCAAATCGCTGACCTTTTCCAAGAGGACGTTCTGAAGCTTTTCAAGCCTTTCAGTCCTGTACAGAGGAAAGAGAATGAACCAGAGAAGTACATATCTAAAGTGAAACACAACAAAAACAGTGTGCTTTCAGACTGCTGTAAGACAAAATGCTGTCGAGTAGGAGCCCATAAAACATACAAGCACTTTTTAATAACAGAGTAAACTTAGAACTGCTTTAGAAGACTAACTGACTGCTTACTGCACATTCATTTTCTCAAGGAACCACATCAAACAGACAGCAATCAAACTAAGTTATATCTTGGTAGTACCAAATGCTACATTTGCACCTCATATTTGTAATCTATTCTTCAATAAGGCCATCAGATAGAAAGGTTAGCTTTACGTATTGTTTACAACACTCATAACAACTAACTGACCTGTGTTTGACGACTTGCTTATTAATGGAGGAGACGTGCTGCTGGATGGTCTGCATAGACTGCTTGTTGTAAACCTCCACCTGGTAACAATTCTGAACATACACATATAATAGATACTGGTTCAACAGGGCCATCGTTTAACAACAGTTTAGCAGTACAGAATTATTAAAAGAGAGCTCAAAAGAGGTATGAAGTGTTCAAGACAAGTCATGAGAATAGATTAAAACATCTTAGTGCTTTTTTTTTAACCCACATGGTCGCCACATCTTTCAAAACAAGTCATCAACACAACACAACAAGCTGCATATTTCCTGTTGACTTTGTATGTCCAACCTGAAACTTCTTATTCAGCTCTGAGCTAAACTTCTGACACAGGTCACTGGGGTTTACAGCACTTTCTGGCAACTCTAAATCCTCATCCATGTCCATGTCTTCGTCCACCACTTCAGCCTCCCAGTGACTGGAGCTCATGTGGGAATAAGGCATCACCTGGCTCAACTCATCCACACCAGACACATCAGCGACTGTGAGTGACGTATCAGGGAGGAAAACGTCACGAGTCAAATTCAGTTTGAGTAATTATTTTTTGCAAGTACTGTTTTCTACCAAAACTAAAAAAAAAAAGACTCTGACAACTTAAACATATTCACTGCATGATCATCATAACAATCTACTATCATGAAAATTTTTTGGGATGTGCTTCAACAAATACACTCACTTCGTATACAATTATAATTTAACATAAGAAGATCTTTAATTCTAGTACAAGCTATCTTTGTACTTTTTAGTATTTTTACCACTGTTTTTAAAAAGTGTTGCAAGAAAAGAGATTCTTATTACGAAATCTGTTCATTTCCTAATTACCTAACATTGAATGTGATTCTAGGAGAAAAAAAAAAAGAGAAAAGTGTACCTTTGCTATGAGTTGTGTCTCTTATATCCTGGCTATTTTTGTACTCTTCTGACATTCTTTTCCTGGTAACTTTCAAAGTTCCCTTGGGCCTGTTTTCCATGTTGTCCTCTTGCTGCTCTCCCCAGCTTTGGGCCTGAGCATGAGCTCTAGTAGCTGAAATAATGAGGAAACATTTGTACTACCCCATTCAGAGGTGAATGTGAATTAATTGTGCTTCATATAGAGGGTAAATCCTGAGTTTTTAAGTCATCCAGGTGCCTCATCGAATCCAGTTGACCGCAATTACAGAATAGGACAGAGGAAATTTTAAAACCAACAAAAGGCTCTCAAAAGCATTTATCTGCAAGAGAGGCACTGATTTTTGAAGTGCTAGTTCACCAAAACATTGGCAGATCTTATTTTAGACAGAGTGTAGTTTACTAGAAATTTTGCAAATACGAAAAATATGTCTTACGGGATTTGAACAATTTCCTTGGCTTCATCCGAGAAGAACACTGTTCTCTCATCTTGCTTATCTTTCTTCCTTCCTTCTCATCTTCCTCGGAATCACTGGAAAAGGAGATGTGACGCTTGCGACTGGGTCCTGTAGCAAGAATCAAAAACTTTACTCATTATACAACTTTTTCGTAACACAAGAATTTGATCTAAAACAGATCCATGATTTGTGCCCCAGTAAAGGGAATTTGTATCATAATGACATTTCATTAGATAGAATTTTATACTGAAGTGCACCTTTGTTTAGCTGTTGATGGAACTTAGATTATAGCCACTACACTATGAAATCCAGGACCACAGAACAACTTGAACACAAAAGATATTTTACCTGACATATGAAGCTGTGCGAGCTTTAGGTCTCGGTCTGAAAGTGGTGTTTTCTGTCAGGACGGACAGTAACACTTTGTTTATTTAAAAACCACAACAATACTGTACACCATTAGTGCTTTTTCAGTCCATCCATCTATTCAAACATCTGTCCGTCCAGTTACAAAAATACTATTATTTAGAATACATTTCAGTAAAGAGCCCCCACCTCTGCTTTAAAAGACGTAGCAACGGAAGCAGCAGGACTGCCCTTGATTCTGCTACTCATTACTAATGACTTAATGGATGACTGGCTCAGTGAAACTAGGGACGCTGAAGACACTTTGCTGAAGCCTGAGTGGTGGCCACAGTTAACGCTGTCTTCAGGGGACGGTGACTGAGGAGGAGAGGGAACAGGTGGCTTGTCCAACTCAAGGAGTGTGGATGTCAAGAGAGGCCGAGCGGACAGAGTGAAATTAGACTGAGCTGCAGAGGACGGGCGCTGTTGAACTGTACCCATCTGGAAACGATTGGAAGAGGACAGTGTGGTAAGAACAACTCACTATGTGGCTACATCATCAGAATGTCTGCCATGGATTAGTGAGAGCAAATGACAAAGACATTTTCTACAGTACATTAAGAAGCATAGATGAAGTGCTGCAGTGCTATTACCTGCGCTGCCTGTAGTTTGGTAGGTCATTTCAATCATGCTACTTAACTGTTCAGAACATCATGTGCAATTCCAACATTTTCTACATAATTACATGATCAGGGAATTTCTCCAACGGCCCACCCACGAGTATGGCTCGTTTTATTCTCAGTCACGTCGTGTTAGCGAAAAGAACTGTGAGCAGTTAAGGGTTTGAGCAGCTTAGGAATCATTATGTCTAGCGCTGCTTAAAAAGAGAAAGCCAAACCTCAGAAAATGGTGGCTGAGGGAGACAAGTCTTTCTTTCCTCACGTTTCACACCCACATTTTCTCAACTGGACTGTGAATTTCAACTGGCAATGCTCATGTCACAGACCTACTTCCTTAAATTCTAGGTTACTGGTAAGAGGGCCTCCAGTCATTTAATAAGTCACACCACCATTCATGCTCCTCAAGAGGTTCTCACATGACTGCTAAGTGACGTCAGTAACATCCATGCAGACTAAAAGTATGTGAATCGCTCAAAGATGCTAAATACCATACTCTGGGATGAGTTGTTAAACATCTTTAAAATGGTGCGAGTGTGGTTGGGTTGGACTACAAAAGCATTCGAGGCTACGATGTTCTAATATGCAGCACTGTGCAAAAGTTTTAAGCACTTAGAAAATTACAAATACCAGTAATTTTTACACTATTAGTTTCATACAAGACACAGGAATGATTAAAAACCTTAATTAAATCAATATTTAGTGGGCCCACCCTTTTATGTCCTTCTTTTTGACACACTAATGCAGACATAAAGATATACAACTATACAAATGTTTTTCTGTAACATCTAAAGTGCCTAAAACTTTTGCATGCTGCTATGCTGAAAATCTCTGAATGTCATTTTAACCCTTGACAAAGACACACAAGAGTGACGGACAATGCCAGTAAGGTGATGTACCTCTGCTGTACCAGGTCTAGCAGGAGGACTGGGTGCAAGGGTTCGACCTCCCACTGAAGGGAGAGAGTGGACAGACTGGACGGACTGAGTTTTGCTGCGCTTCATTTCTGCACTGTAGAAAGACGAGGGCTTGCGGTTTCCTTTACTGCTGACTGTGGAGCGAGGTTTGGGTAGCAGCAGGATCGGCGAGGGGGTGTCCTGGCAGAGAGGGTTCGGGGAAGCAGGGAGTGGGGATCCCCGTGGGCTGAGGACAGGGAAGCAGGTCAAATCCAATGTTGGGGCTGACCTCTTGGCAGCTGTGAGGTTCCAAAATAAGCACAGATGTTCAAACAGCTGGCTTCAGAAGTTGGACAGAGAGCAGGAGGTCAATACATACATGCTATTGTTCATATCAATTTACAGTGAAGAGGTTGGAGAGCAAAAACGTTCTTTATGTAACATTTTCCTTGTGAAGATGCATCTTTGACAAACAGAGATTGGATCTTAAGCAAATGGGTTAATAAATATATCTAATACCTAAGATGGAACTGGCCAACTGAATGCCTAACTTAAAATGGGTGCAATAGTTTGTGTTTCTGTATACTAATCTATTTCAGGTGGGAAAATTGTAAATCCTCTTTCTAGCCATGAATAAGACGTATACCTTAGTGGAATCCAAGCAAAAGCAATAAACAGTGTGTCAAACATAGGAAACTTTTTTTTTTTCAGCCAAAAGGGCTCTAAAGTAAAATATGTGGCCACTGTGATGAAATTAACAAACCATTTGTTTAACCATGAACCATTTAATAGACATTAGCTGATGTCAACGGTTTCAAATGGCTGTTATCTAACTTTAGTGACTAGCTTTCCACAGACTCTTACATCTCATCTTCTCGATGGAAGGAGGCGACGGACAGAAAGAGGTCTGGCAGGCAGCCCAGGAATCCTTCAATGCACTCATCTGTTCTTGGGCAGAGATGACATTTTTCTTGTTCAACTTCGAAGTTTCTTGAAGAACATTCTCAGGCCTCTGAAAAAAGGTGTTTCTGGTATTTATGATGATCATGGACATGAAACCTATTCAGGAGCACAATGTGCACGCACGTGTTCAAGATCGTGACTCGTTTCCAGCTTCATACAGCCAAGAAGTAGCAACCTGATATATATATATTTTTTTACCCTTTGATGCTAAGTGATACACAGTATCCTGTAAGTAAATATGTATATATTATTTGGGAAATGGCCTCAGCAACCTGTTAGTCATGAATGCCGTAACATATTTTACTCATTCGATTACAATCACTAAATATATTTTTCCATCTGTTTGACTGAATGTTTATACGTGTATGCTTACACATGTGCTTTGTTATAATCATGTACATCACAAATGGCACCAATTTGCATTTATTATCCATGCTGTGTAACAATATAAACTGTCAGCATTTGCTAAAAGTCTGTCAGTTGTATACAAGAATACTTCTGTTGTTTTCTATACATGCTTCTTCACAGGACTGAACTAGAATGTGAGCTTGAATGACAGAGATAAAGGGCTGTGCTCTCACCTTGAGACCAGATGTTTTTTTCAAATCTGACTGCTTTTTGCTGTCTTGTCTTATGTAGCTCTTGGTGGATTGCTCAGAGAAGGTGTTTTTTCTCTTCTCTACCTCTGGAACCTCTGACCACGTCTTCTCACTCTTCCTTTGCTGGCCTAGAAAATGTTTCTGTTGGCAGACAAACCAAAGAGGACTTTTGATATTGTAGCAACTGTCAACTGTTACTACAACTGTTGTATTATTATGCACTCGATGTACAAACAACATAATCAGCAACTAACCACACGTCTTATATACTCTACAGAGTTCAGCAGCGAGGTTAACAAAGTCACTGTGGAAACTGTCACAAAACTTTACAAAAGAAAAAAGTTGCCAGTGGCTCTACCTTACTTGATCTTTGTCTGACTTGATTTTAGACTTTGTTTTGATGTAGACTGATTCACATTTCTGGTAGCTTTGGATGGCTGTTAACTAATCCATACAAGCTACCTACGCTTTACGTCATTAAAATTACGCAAGACAACAGTATGAAAGTAAGCACCACAGTTCCACAAACTTGAATTGTGTGCCTGTCTGGTACACTGTAGTTACAGTCCCACAACACACACAGAGCCTGAGATCAGTCAGGTTAGAGTATGCTGCTTACAAAGTTGATTACAGTACGAGCATGTGGTGATGCAGATACTGCATGTTCTCTGACATATGCAGACATCTACCTTGGAACCAGGTGGCTTCTCTGGTACAGGCTCTGTCACTAGCTTCATATAGCTTCTGGATGGTTGTTTAGCAGTTGTCTTCTTCTTTTTGTTCATTTGAGGAGCCTCATGAGTTTCCTCGCTACTCTTTTGATCATCACTGGAGTAGTACTATTTCAAGGGACAAGAAAAACCAAACAGAATATTTGCAGCTGCAATATGCAATGAATCCCATTAGTGTTTCTGTACCATGTCCTGGGATGTGCAAACTGCTCAAATTTAGATGTTTCACACTTTAGTACTTGGTTCCACATCAGGAGTTTTCTTATTTTTCCTGTCAATAAAGTAATATCCAAATATTAAAGTATTATGTGTTTATAACCAATTGTCATTGCTCAAATAATTTATTATAGCAGGTGGACAGTTTGCTAGGCATTTGCACTGAGAGATATACTTAAGTGAGAGATTAAGATGGGTTTGTTTCTTTCTAAGAGTGTGGTCAAGTCCAGCCCGCTCTATAAAAACAAGGTGTTTCCACATTTAATACACTGTTTGGAGCAATGATGTAGTTTGTCTTCACGACGCCATCAGGGTATTAATTGACTGTGACTTTGACACAACAGTTACAAACCATACAAACCATTACTTTGATCAACAAAATAAAAAACAGTAATTAGTATGTGCAGATTCTCAATATTTGATCAGATAGAATCCAAACCTCGCCTTATATAGATAAATGTTCAGTTGTCTTAAGAATAAGACACACAACTAATCTAAGTTTAAAAAAAGAAAGTAACACAAGAAATAGAGAAATCTTTTGCCTTTGGAGTTGGAGGCCTCTCTGGTTCTGACTGGCTGTCATCTGTATCTGGCACTCTGTAACTTTTGGTAGAGGTGGCTGCAGCTCTTTTGGGCCTCTTGCCAGCTGCACGTGGTCTTCTGGGTGCTGCGGGCTTCACCGTCTTCTTTGGCTGATCAAGCACATTCTTCAAATAGGGCTTCTTTTGATGCAACAATGACACACTGTGGCTGACTGGGATAATGCATCATGGGCTTTAAGCACATTGCTCACAAAGAGCTATAATTCTTCCTTACCTTACTGGGTTTAGAGTTGTTTGCCAAAGCTTTTGGAGAGGGTTGGTGTGATCCTGGAGATTCATCTGCAACAAAAAAAACGCACACTGTATGTGTGGAATCCCTCTAAAAAATGTTTGTATTATTATCCAGACTTAATGTGATAATGGTGTAACTGTGAGTGTGTTTTTGTCTTGACTTACATGATGTGTGAAGTGGGATAGCTTTGGGTTTGATGGGAGCCTGCCTGGAGTATTTGGTAATTTGGGGTTTTTGCTTCCTTGATGATTCTCTCAGCCAGCTGACCTCTGTCTGAGCATTGTCTGTGTCTGTGTCACTGAACAGATGCTTTTTCAGATACCGCTTGTTCTGAAACAAACAAGGTAGCAGGTGACAGACAAATGTGTATATTTAAGTGACAATCGTACATTTTCCCTCAGGTGTAAAGAGACAGAGGGACACAAATTCTCTTTTACTGACTTTAATTAAACACTACAATACAACTAAAGCATACTTTTGCCGCAGGTTGTCCTTTCTTGGTTGTGCTGAGAAGTAGTGAAGAGTTGTGGATGCCACTGTCAAACAATACGGGACATATGAAACCAGGCGGCTTTTTCAACAAATGTCTGACAAAATGTTAAAGTTTCAATGACTGTACTCCCTGACAAATATGTTCACGGGCCATCTTGACCTACCTGGTCGACATGGCGGAGGTGTTCTCTCCCTACAGTGCAACCAAAGAGACTTTAAACACTGCAGTGGCATTGTCAGTACTCAGGAATGATACATCCACAAATGCAAAATAAATATTAGAAATATTTACCCCAATACTCGACGGTGCATCAACACCAAAATCGAAAACGGAATTTCTGTGCAAATGAAAAAAGGCATTAAAGATGCCCTAGAATAAACTGAAAGCCAAGAATTTATCCAAATGAAATTCAAATCTTTTAACTGAGTTATACTACCTCTTCCAGGCAGCTCCAGATGTTTCTCTCTATAGTAGATAAATATTATATTTTGAAAAATAAGTAAGGCAAAAGTGATTCAAGTGCAATATTACTTAAGTCAAGCCAAAACATAAATCAAGTAATCATCACTTACTTTAGCAGTTGGTAACCAGCTCATATTGAAGATTGGTCTGCTACAAATGCAACAGTCAGTAAATGAGCAATGAGATTTTTTTTTTTTCATTTACTGAAGCAGAAAAAAATGCAGCCTCATGTTTGTCTACCTGTTGACACGAGGACGACTCCAGCTCTGACGGACTGTTTCTGCAGCACCTTTGTTTGTGGATTGGGTTTTTATCTCATCACGGCGGGAGATGAGCTTCACCATGCTGCCTGCAACTTTTGCATCTCTCTGAGTACAGAAAGTAAGGAGCAAGAATTACATAAAACAATTGAACAAACATTACTAAGAACATTGGAATGTTTTTTTTGCTGCATAACGTTTATAGAAGTCATACTTTTTCTTTGCTTGAAAAGGACCTCTTCGTTTCAGCCTCAACCTTAGTTGGTACTCTCTCCTTTGCTTTGACTGTGACAGCTTCTACCTTCAATAAAGTCTGGCTTTTGCTCTTCTGTTTTGCAGGGTTGTTTCTCTGAGTCTGCTGCTCTTTGGGAATACACATCGAGGAAACACGCTGGTCTCCTGAGCTTCTGTCTTTAGAGTCCCCTCTGACATTAGACATTTTTCTCTCGAGTGCAGCTGGCTCCTGAGGTGCAGGATTTTGATTCCTCTCATCGAGAACCTGCTGCAGGCGCTTGGTGAGTTCGACATGAAGCTCCTTTTGACGGACAAGGCTCGAGTCTGAAACTGACCATCTCTGCGCTGAGGGCGGACGGTGGTCTTGCTGTCCTGCTAAACATGAATGAGACTCTAAAGACAAAAAACAAAAGTCAAATCAAGTCAGTTTTAGTAGCTAGGTTTTGCCTCTGTAACTAGCTTTTCATATCTGAAAAATGTACTGACAACCTAAACATAGTGATAATATTGGATGTCTTCTTTTTTTTTTTTTTTACCAGGTGGTGGCAGAGAACTGATTTTCTTTGTGGGCATCATTAGCATCCCAGAAATTGACATTTTGTTCCAGCTAGAAGATCTGTAATTTAAACACATTAGTATATTTAGATATCTTCTCTATGAAGACATTGTATTTACACACAAACACATCACATTGTGCAGAGCATTGGCTACTCTCCTCGGTAGATTTGTGAACAGAGTGGAGTTTCTTCACAGTACTTACATGTTTCTCTCATTTCTGGGCTGGGTGTCTGGCACAAAACTATGCTCTGTAGGTAAAAAGATCAGTGATGGGTTCAAAAGAGTGTGAAAATAACAGTGCAGCTGTAATTCTAAAGACAAAGTAGCAATACAATACCAAGAAACTTCTCTTCTTCTTGTCCAGATAGAATCAAATCTACTGCTTCTGTCACTGATATCTTCTGCAGGACAGGGAGAGACAACAAATGTAAGTGCATGAAAATAAAACTTTTCTGTACAGCTACCCCCTAAAGTTTAGGATTTGAGTTATCAGTTGAGAAGAGTCCATTTTGTCTATATAATTCCTACTGCTTTTGTTTTACCTGCATCACTGTGTACACAGCAATCACTGTTTACACAGCAATGTAGGAGCACCAGATTGACAGGCTCTGTCTTGTCTCAAAATAGTCAAAGCAGTAAACTCACTGTAATGGAAACAGAGAAGTGTAATGGAAACAGAGAACAGCATAATACCAAACAGCAGAACAGATTTTTAGTCATGTTTGTTGGCTGCTCTCACTTTCTCAGCTCCAGGGCCGTTAATAACTGACTGTCACTGAGGCTACCTAAGCTACTTTTGAACATGGTACAACTTCCTCTTCTGCTGTCCACTGTTACTGACACTTGAGCAGCCAAAAGACAGATGATCAGCACATTCTTTTTTTTTTTTTGACCCAGTTGACATCAGATGGTTTCGCATCAAATGTCCGTAAGCATGAACTAATGAAACACAAGAACGTAGCAATAAGTATACGGACAAGAGTTGACACTGCCAACACACCCACACACTGGTTCTCTTTAAGACAGTGCTTTCAAGTGCACACTCTATACTCTAAAAATCCTGAATCAGGGACTTTCAAGGGGACTGGTTGAGAAGATTGAGAACATTATCAGGATGTGATGTAGTTTGAATAGTTAATACTAAAAAAGAGTCAAAAACAACACGAGTGTGTCCACAGTTCGTATCATACTTTCAATAAGTTAAGCCTTCAAGAAAGACAAGTGCAAAAGTAGCTATCGCAGTAAAAGAATGGCATTTACACAATGATTATACCTTTTTGTGTTTGTCTGTCTTGTTCTTGATGACCTGTTTGGAGGCTGTGCTCTGTTGAGATGAGACAGATACAATGAAAGGCAACATTAAGCTAACATTACACAAGCAAAAACAGTATCCTATTTTGCTTATAAGTCACAATTAAGAACTTATAAAAGCATTATTGAACACTTACACCACTTGTGTCATATGTTAAACTGCATGATGTTCAGCATTATGTCATACCTTTTCTTCCATACCAACTGTATTTGCTTGGCCAAGTGTTGTGTTACGGCTACAAGTCTTAATAGTTGCATGGTGTGATCGAACCATCTCCAGTGATGGCTTATCTTTCCTCTTGGCTGGTGTGTCTAAAATTGAGGAAAACAATGTTACACTTGGCAGATAGATGAATTTATGTGCCTCGTTTTTAATTTACCTTCACAAACAAGAAATTGTGAAACAGTAAGGAGAAAGAAGCTTTTCATCAGGAAGACAAAAACAACAGTCTTGATACATGTAAAGCAGACACGTTGCTCATAATGAATTACGCATTAGCCTGGGATATTACCTCATATAGAGTTACAAACTGCCTTGACTAATCCCAAAAAACAGGAAAGAACTGTTTTTCTGCTGTGATTCTGCCCTATTCCTCTTACATGTCTTAAGATATGTACTCTTCTTGAGTTTGTGTCAAGAAAAAGCCAAAACTTTGAAGTATAGTTTCTTGAGACGTAATCAGTTTATTTGTCTGATTTTATTTTATTTGCCCTTTATTTTACCAGGTAAAAATGTTTGAGAACCAGTTCTCATTTGCAAACATGACCTGACAATGCAAACATGAAATGAGCTCTGTTTCCTCTGTTTTATCACACAAAAGTTAACATACTCTACATAGCTAATCGGTCCTGGACATGAAAAAGTTCAGGAGGCCATGAATAAGAAACATGTAATTCAAAGTTAAGAAAAACAGATTTTAATGCAGCCCTGTGATAGACTGGCGACCTGTCCAGGGTGTCCCCTTACTTCACCCTAAATCAGCTGGGATAGACTCCAGCCCCCCGTGAGCCTATTGAGGATTAAGCGGTGTATAGATAAAGGATGGATGGATGGATTTTAATGCATAATAATTGTTTGCATACAATTTTATTCATCTTGTATTCATCAGAGAGTAGGCATGTTATTCTGTGATTCCCTTGCAAGTGAGCTAAATACTCAGTCACTGTTTGCCTTTTAATTCTTTTAATAATTCAAATTGAGTTTATTTGAAACTTTATAAGTTTTTTTTTAGACTTCCAGGAATGCCATTAAGTTAATACAATTATACTAGCACTTGTGCAACAATAATTCTTGACGCTTTCTTGTGTCACCTACTTGATGGCATAACAGCGACAGAACTGGCACTATGTGCACTTCCTACTGCACTGCAGCAAACTAAGGTGGTGGACTCTGAAATCCTGGTCTTGGCAGGGGTCACCATCTGGATACAAAATTAGAATGTATCTGTGAATCAACTGGACGTAAAATGATTTTCAAGCAATTCCATAACAAAGAATTTTTAGATCTAATCCCTTTCATATACGACAAATTACACAACAGAAACATGGAAATTCTGCTGTCAAGACACATTCTGTAATAGTGTAAAAATTAAGTATTGAATTGTGCATAATAGCACTACAACCATATTATAACTTGACAAAGCTTTTGTTCTGTAAACAGAAGCCTGGTTCTGTATATTTATGAGCTCACTGAACGGTGAAAGACCATCGTCACTGAAAAAAACTACATGCTATGTTTAAGTTCACTACACTTAACCTCTACATTTTTGATTCAATATTCAATAAAAAAACAGTTTAACCTGTACAGGTGCTGCTGGGGTAGGTAAAGGGTAGGGGATAGTGCTTTTCTCACTTTCACCAAGGGACACCTGGCTCTCTGGAACAACCTGCACACAAGCACTTTGTGATGAGGATGGTTTGCACAATTGTCAGTTCCCAGCATATCTGATACATTAAAATCGTACGTAAACCACATAACAAAAGTTTGAAACTGACTATAATAATAATAAACTCATCTCAAATCTGATCCTGCCTCAAGAGTGTACAGTTGTTCCAGCTTTTGTAAGTTCAATATGTAAACAAGCCAGTGTTTACCTGGGTATTGTTCACTTCCGTTACAATTTTAATTGTAGTTTTCGTAACAGATGTGCCCTGACAGAAAGAGACACCTGTTAGTGCAAATCAACAAATTTATTATGACCACAATGAAGCCTATGGTTAGAGACAAATCATAAATGTTGTTTTTCAGGGGGTGCCAAGTTTTTCCTCAATGTCTCAGTTCCATGTAAATGTCAATATTTATTAGACATATATTTATAGTAATGAAACAAGAAAACATAATGAATTATTATATTATTAGCGTTGCATTTAGTAGAGTTAAAGTGAAGAAGACTTGGCCTCTCTACTTTGTTTGTCCTGAGTCCATAGACGTTACGAGCAGCCTGCAGGATATCCAGAGAGGAGCTGAAATGGATGGTAAGACTGGATCCTTCCACTGCACCGACAACCACCACCTCTGACAGCTCGACCTGCAAGACTTTCCTCTTCCCCTTCCCTGGAGAAAAGAACAGTGTTTCAAAGCAAATACCTAAAACACATGGCCAGTTAAACGCAAATCAAAAATGATAATATCTTCATAAAATGCACTTGATTAATCTGCTCTGCTCTTTTCCAGACTAAAGCCATTAAAGATACATAAATTTATCATGCATTAACTAAAATGCCTGAGATGTGGTATTAAACAAGACTATGAATTGATTTTTACAATTACTACAAGTGAAAGAAAAATCTCTAAAGGTAATTTCAACTCAGCTGTGAGCTCGCCTCCTTCTCAAGTGACATTATTAAGCTACTATAACAGGCGTGTTGTTGAACTACATCATACAGTAAGTAATGTTGGTCTATTTTAACTGAATGTCCAAACTGTTGTCTCATGCTCCAAAACAAATTGGTCATGGTTATGACAGTATTAGCCTGGCTAATATTATCTGCCACATCACCACATAGGCCAAATGAGTAAGGGATTCTTACCTTAGTACAACTGCAAAAACGTACACAATACACCTATTTGGGAGATGCATGGAATACCATAATACATGACATATAACTGCGCTGACTGACTGAAATTGTGCTTTGATTACCTGTAACCGTGTAGCTCTGGACTTCATTCTCATTGATGCATATTGTATCCCAGTGGCTCTCCTACATGTCGGTGAAACCAGTTTGTTCAGCTCCGACAGATGACTGTTTGTTGACCTTGCACATGAATTTGTTGGCACCTGCTGTATATATATATATGTTACTGATCTTGTGATCTTGGGGTACCTGTGTCTCTTCATCAGTCAAGGAGAAGTAAAAGGAGATGCTGTGGCTGCCAAGGTTGAAGTCAATCCAAAATTCCTCAAGATTCTCATCTGAAGGCATCAGTAGCTGACAACAACAACAACAACAACATAAAAAACCCCATGCTTTTATTTTCAACACACCAACTAAAACACCTAAAGAGTACAGTATGGATGATAGTCAACCTTAGACGCAAAACTACAACTGAAAAAAGAGCAGTTAATTGTACTAAAAAGGAATTCTGATCATAGACAGAATCTGTGGTTCCTTTGTATCTCTTATTCAATTGCATAGAAGTTTCTAATTCTATCTTTTTCCTCACACTTACTGATAACCATAGAAATCTTATTAATATTCACCTCATACTTGCCCAGATAAACTTCCAAACAAGGGTAAGAAAACACTCTACAGAAACAAAGAGAACATTGTTATTTAGTCGTTGTGTGTCATCAACACTGCATGCATTCCCTGTCTTGGCTTGATCAAAAATGCCAAATTGCTGTCTACATATATATTGAGTTTAACAAAAGACAACATTAGAAAAAAGATGGACCAGAATTACAAAGATATGCATTCTGTGCGTATGTGACTATTCAAGTTCCTCAGACCGTGTCCTGGAAAACACTGAGCTATGGTATTTGTGTACCTTCTCGTGTCTCCCTGCATCCCATTCACCATGTTCAGAAACTTGCGGCAAGCCTGAAACCACAGACATATACAGTGCTTAACAAATTTATTACACCACCTGTCATAAAAACGAGAAAACATCAATATTTTAGAAATCTTTCAAAACTTTGTTAAAAACTAAAAATGTTATTTATTTGTCAAATAAACTGAAACAACTAAACAGTCCTTTTTCACACATGCTGACCAAAGAACATAATATTGTGTGGCCTGCTTTGGCCTTGATAACATCTTGCATTCTTGCTGGCTTTGTTTCTATGTACTTTTTGACAGTCTCTGTTGTTAGTGAGTTCCAAATAGTTTCTAGCTGTTCCCACAGACTTGCTTTGGATGAAACTGTTATGGGATCAATCTTTGAATGTGCTACATCCCAAATTTGTTCAACAGGATTCAAATCCGGACTTGCCCAGTGCATCAGTTCCAGGACTCCAGATTGGTCAAATAGTCTCTGCACAGCTTTGAAGTAGCTTGGCCTCATTGTCTTGTTGCTATATAAACCAACAACCAATTAAATTCAGTCCAGAAGGGATTCTACAATGCACTAAGATGTTGTGGTAGACGTTCTTGTTCATGATATCGTCGATTTTCACTGATTTGCATTTCCAAACCATCCTTGACCACACTGTGACAACACTTTATGTCTTTCCCTATTTGTCTCAGAGACCATCCAGCACCATGAAGGGCTTTAATGGGCACTAAGCTCTCAACGTTTTACCATTTTGAACAGCAATGAGGAATTTCAAGCGGAATTCACTGTTTTATACCCAAATTAGAGCCACTAGTTTTCTCTGAGCAGTCAGAAATGAATCAAGCACAATATTCAACCACGAAAACTTTTTTTCTTTTGTTCAGGAAAGCAAGTAAATAATAAATGATAATAACATCTTAATAAAGAAATAACAATGTGCTTTATTGTTTTTTTCTGTTTTTTCCTGTGAAACAGTAAATTTGAAAATTCATAGACAACAATAATAATAATTATATTTTAGCATTAAAAGTGTGATTTTGGTTAAAGAGCTTCTACAGACTGGTGTATTAACCATTACAGAAGCATAAAAAATGATTTTGGTAATTACCAATGCTGTTAATTTGTGGCATAAACCTTACAGTGGGTGGTGGTCTAATAAATCTGTTAAGTACTGCACATCCAGTTTTGCATGGTCAGTGGTAAGAATGCAATATATTGTCACAGTAGTACATCAAAATGTAAATGCAAATGATAAAAATAACAATAAAAAGCTAATTTTACCGTCTCAAACTCAGAATCGTTGATCTTTGCAAAAGCGCTGGCAACATGGCCCATGCTAAACCACTGATCTGCCAGCTCCTTCCTCTGGTTAGGAGTAGCCATTCTGAACAGCGCCTCCATCAGGGAAGACTGGAAGTCATAATCTGTAAAAAAGAAAAAAAAAAACAGACCACACTGTGCATTTTTTGTTCCTAATCTGGTTCTCAGTGAAGACAGACTGTGTTATTTATATATATATAAAACAAGCAAACAAATAAAAACTTACCACCAGCTTCCAATATTTGACCAGCTAGTTTGATCCTGAAGAAGCATAAACAAACAGGTACACGAGTGTGTTGATTTTATAAAAAATTAGTAACAGTGATCCTTACAGTGAGCAAACTACTGTGACATACATGAGATCTGAGGCCTCCTGTGATGTTAGGATCTTCCTGTCTTTCTTGAGCTCCACTGGGATTTTGTCCAGAATTAAGTTGAATTTACGGATCGCCTGTTGGAACATTGTTGGTAAGCTAATTCATGGGCAAACACTTCAGGCTTTCAGACTAAACGCTGCTCTAAAAAAGTAGCTTCACAAACAATTTCCAACCTCTTTTTTGATCAGGATGTAGATTCTGGGGTCCACTGCCAACTGTCCAATGGGATACAGGAAGGACTCAGTAATTTCCCATGTTCCTGCAAAAAAATAAAAATAAAAACGTGGCAACACTTCTCAAAGAGACAATGTTTTTTCTTTGCTATTCAGAATGATCATGAACTTATTCTGATGCTCATCTCGTTTGATAAAAACTCATCCACCTAAATTTGTTCCGACAAACAATGAAGAAGAAAAGCACTTTTTTTCTACTCTAGTATGTTTCCACACATTTAGAAATTAAGCGGGAACATGCACATGTTAGTTTTAAGTTTTGTGTGGGTTCTAAAATGAAGACAATACATACAGAAGATGGAATGCAAATACAGAAATATCTGAGCATACCCTCTTTGCATGTTTCATGTACCGCCTGAAACAAAAAGAACAGACACAAAACACTAGCAGATTAGGAACTCTAATGTGTTTCATCACAGAAAGTGTTTATTAGACAAAAGCTCACCGTTAAAACGTTTAAGAAATCCTCAGACAGTGTGAACAAGGTCTCATCCCAATGCAGGCCACACTGGATCCACAGTTGTCTGCATTTCTCAAACCACTGCACCATGTGCACAAAAACAGATTCCATCAACATTTATTCATGTACATTTACTTATAAAGCTCCCACATACAATGTGGCTGTATGTATTAGATGGACACTTATCTTTTTGATCAGGCCTTGAGCGATTAGCTCAGAGAGTCCTTGGCCCCCAGGTAGTTTTAAGTTTTTTCCACACTTGTAGAGGATAGTAAGACCCAAACTGGCTGATTTTGCATCTTTTTGATCCAAACGCTAAAGAATATTGGAACAGTTTCATTAGATCCACAAACAGAACAGCATCATGGTAGATTAGTGAATGTGCTGAATTTTATCTTACCCTGCTGACAAGTTTATCTAATTTGGTAAGAAACTGTTCGGAGCATTTCATGGTGCTCTCCTCATATATGTCCTTTTGCAAGAATGCAAGCAGGGCTTGGAGATTACCACTCTTTAAGCCGTCATCGATAGCAGTCTCCAACTACACATAAAACAGGTTTATTAAAGTTTATGTTTCGCCATTAGATCAACAACAAATATCTGAGTGATGTTTCTTTAAGTGACAGTACGTTGATAAGGCAATTTTGTTAAAGCTTTGCTTTCTCACATGTTTGCTCTGGCTTGGTATCATTCTTGCCTCTGAGGAGGGGCTGTAGAACAGTTTGGTCTATGCGATCCTCAGACCTCAAAGGGAAAAGGCAAACATAATACTAACTATCTTAACACTATTTTAACAGAGATTTAACCTTATGTACAGGTTAAGCCAGGTAAAGTCAACAAAATTATTTCTTAACATAAGTGAGCAATCTATCAATCGTGATGTGTGATGGGCTACACTCTCTGACGTACTCAGTGACTTCTGACAAGTGCTGTCTGTTAATTTGTCGTGACAAAACATTTAAGTTCCCTCCATACAGTACTAACATCTGAACTGAGTTGTGCAAAAAGGGATTGTTAACTGCTGCTTGATAAAGCTGTATTTCCCACTTTATGTATATCTACAGATACATCATACACAGTGCAAAAGAGATAAAGAAATGCTTTGCGATTATCCTCATCTCTCTGCATCATTTTAACTGCACTGTACCTCAAAATATATCAAATTCAGTTCTTTTAACCAGTTCACAATGCTATAAATGCCCAATTTAACTCACATATTGCAATTTTGCACTTGTCAAAAAGTGATTGGAAACCCTATATTGTAACTGAAATGTTATTATTACATCAAAATGACTTTTCATTCACGTGGGTTATGTGTCAAAGTTTCTAACCTACAAGATAATATATTATTGATTTCTCTTACAGAAAAAATCCATCTGTAAATCATATGAATTAAGCTAGTTCCCAAGCATAAGCAACCTTATTACCGATACCAAACACGCAACACAAATATTTGTTTTGTCACAATTACACAGTTACAACAGACGTTACAGTGTTAGAGGCTAACATTTTCTATCAACATACACATGTTATGTACATTCGCATTCTCTGACTTTATAAAATATATAAAAAGCAGCTGCAGACGTTTGTAAACCGGGCGATATAAACGTTTGCTCCCACAGATAGACGACCGCTTGTTGGCAAAGCGCCGGAAGAAATGCCGGTTGGCCGCCGCCTCGGTGAACCGGTTTCACCGTAAATACAATTCCATCAAGATAATACCGGTCCTCTCTTTCAGCCTTCACCCAACCAAGCTGACCACGTCCCAGCAGTAAGTCCACAACTTATTTCACATTCTTCAAGTAGCTAACGCTGTACATATGAGCTTAACCGTTTCTAGCTAACTGACGTTCAGCGCGACGTCCTATTTCCTCAAATAGCTTAGCTAGCTTAACAGTGCGTACCCGCTGCTAACGTTCGCTAACATTGCCTTGTTAGCTAGCACTAATTTCGGACAATAATGCATCAGCGGGCACGAAATAACTAAAACAGTTGTATGAGGTTGTATTATTCTCGTGAAAATACTCACTGCGTTTTCAAATTTCGCCCCAAACTACGGCGAGACACTTATTTTTCTTGATGGTCTGTCAAAGCAAAACCCGCCAAGTCGTTCCCTCGATCACGGAAGCGCGTGACCTGTGTGACGTCCAATCAGTGTCCCGTTGTTTCTGTGGTTCTAGTTTGTGTTTGTTTGTTTGTTGAATTTCAGACATGTCCTGGTATCATAACGGAAAAAGGAGAAAAGAAAACTCACAAAAAGGAAAAAACAATGCATTTACTCCTACCTGTTACACGTCTTTACAGTTCATATCTTCCTGTTTGCATCAGACCTGATCCTACAGTCATGGACAAAATGAGTAGACCACCGTTGTTGTCTTCAATTTCTTGTTCATTTTAATGTCTGGTACAACTAAAGGTACATTTATTTGGACAAATATAATGAAAACAACAAAAAAA